CAAAAATATTCAGCACAATATTTCACTCCACGATTTTGGGAAAGAAGATTATCCTCAAACTTTAAATTTTTTTAAAAACTTGAAGCCATTTTCAGGGACACGATCACAGGTAGATATGAGGTTATCTTATATTTTTATTAGACATTTTTCCATTCATGCCTACGGAACAATTAAATTATCTCGAAAACACACGGTATAAAGCATACTAATTTCAGATCGGGATGCTAAGTGGTAGAAGAAGATTTACCCGGCAACAAAGAATAGAAAATAAAGATTATATTTGTTTATTATTCTCTAGAATTTCTTCAGTGTATAATTTTCGAGCATGTTCACTCAATTAATCACACTGAACAAATTATAAATCAAGTAAAAGGTGCTTCATAATACTTATTCCGCGGGTTTCATTCACGGTCTGATTCAAAGACCGCTGGCTTTCTTTAAACATCGGGAAACAGGTACAAACATCGTTTCTTCACCGTTTCTTCGTGTCACATTCTTCACCGAAAATTCTCAGTATTTTCAGGAATCATATTTATTTATTTTTCGAAGTGTATAATGTCACAGTTTTACTGTGCTTCCATAATTATAAAGAACATTTTTGATCAAGAGGAAATACAGTACTGTATTGACTTGGCTAGTTAATTGACTCCAAAATATTCGCAGCATCAAAACTGTTCAGAAATGTATTCACTAAAAATTAATTCAAAACTTAAGACGGATGAAATGTCAAAATCTGTTATTGGACACAAACGTCGCGAAGAGACAAGTCAATTCAATGCATTACCGTAATTTTATGAGGATTAGAGAAAACACAATCTAAAGAGAAAGCGTGAGAAACACGTCTAAATCAAATGATAAAACAGAGACATCCTTGTGAAAGCTGATGTACTTGTGTATTCTTCGTATTCCAGGCATTCATGTTATAATGGGATGCTTCGCAGCATACCTCTTATCTACAGGTATGATCCAGCATATGTATCTACTGTATGGACATCAGCACTCACAAGTGTTTCTCACGATTAAGAAACGCATCTATGGAATTAAATTATCAGATTTTCCCTAGAAAGTACACTAAAACCAACCGTGCTCTTCCATTCCACACTGATTCAAGATAAGAACTTTGAAAGGGGAGTCGGATTGACGACGAGCGGAATGAATTTTTCCGAATGAAACTTCGTCCGAAAGGAAAATATTTACGGCTGTCAATTTTAAGTTTTTCTCGAATACTTGTCAAAAATGCACAAATGCTAAATTATTTAACCAAGCAAAGTCAATCCAAAAAATCACATTTCAAAATTGAGGAAGAAACAAAAACAATGAGTCAGGTCGCTTTGAAAAAAAATGAGTAGTACGGTATTTTGGAAAAAATAAAATTGTATTTATTTGAGGCCAAGAGAAAATGCATGTACGACGATTGTTTCATTAGTTTTGAGACTTTTTGACATAAATCCAACGGAGTTTCAAAAATTCCGAAGAAAATGTTTACTCGCATAGCCCCATTATTTGGTAACACTTCAGCAATGTTCAACTTACTCTCCGCCAATTTTAATGATTTTTTCCATGCAATAAGTCCAACGATTAAAACAGTGCCAAAAATCGAGTTCTGTTAATTTTTTAGGCGCCCTGTGATTTTGGCTGTTCCCGAAAGTGAAGAACGATCTGTAAGAGTTTCATCTTGAGTATAGGGACAGCCTCCTTTTCGCCGTCGATAAAGAACAGCTCAGTCAACTAGAGGAACTCGATTTTTGGCACTGTTTTAATCGTTGGACTTCCTGCATGGAAAAAATCATTAAAATTGGCGGAGAGTTAAGTTGAACAGCGCTGAAGTGTTACCAAATGTTGAGGCCGGCGAGTAAAATGTTTCTTCGACATTTTTAAAAATCCATTGGATCTGTGTCAAAAGGTCTCAAAACTTATGAAACAACCCTCGTACTTGATGCAAATAAATTGCTTAATGCCAATCTGCGGAGATAATTTTCTTCCCCTTGATAAACTGTCCTTTCAACTGCCATTTCCCCTCATTACAAGAATTCGACCATGCGAAAAACAACGCTTGAAAAACGATTCATTTGAAATGGAATTTGACGTTGCCCCTCAGCAAAGTTGCGCAAAAAATTAGCGCTTGCGAGGAAAAAGAAAAATGTGTTTCTTTTTTTTTGTCTGGAACGCACTCAATTAGATCCACCGTATTGACACTTACTGCATCAATAAAGTTGACAACAAAATCCTCAAGAACATAAAAGTTGATTTTAAAAATAACCTACATTTCGAGCGATGTTTCAAAAGTTCTGCCAGCCTTTCCCTTACCATCACCAGAAATACATAAGGGAGGACCTCATTTTTACTGAATCACACCTTTTTCTCTCTTTAGCTTTAAAAAAAAAAGCTGGTTTACGTGAAAATACGATCAAAAAGAACCTAATTTCTTAAAAGTCACGCAATCGTCTTTACCTAATTAGCAGGCAGACGAAGTTGAACCAGATACAACGGATTAATTGGAATCCCGACAACGGAATTTTTTCAATCCTTAGTGCAATTTCAGAATTAGGGAAGGCAGACGTGACGATTGCGTCAAAATCGACGATTGATGAACAAAAACCCGTCCGAGGATAATTAATGAATGAGAACGAGGTCTGGTTCAAGTTTCGATATTGAATACCAAGCGTTTTGGATTATTTGGTTTGAGGTGCTCGGGTAACCTCTGAAATCTTCAGGTGAACTGCATTTTTAATTAAGATTTTCATAATTCTGATGAAAACGTTTTTCAACTCGGTTGATAGAAACCTTTATTCGAATCCCGAAGTCGTGCTAAATCATTTCCAATTACTGAAGGAACCTCTCAAGGAGCCCTCGTTTTTTTTTAAAACAAAACTGCAAACAGGAAGAAAATGTCAGAGGTTTAAACTTGTGCCACATTGATGGAGAGCGCTAAATTATCTAAAATTCATCTTAAATTATTTCCAATTACTGAAGAAACTTCCCACGCAAACATCGTGGTTTTTTTTACACAAAATTGCACGCAGGGAAAAAATGTAAAAGTTTGAAACGTGTGATGCGCGCTGAATCATCCAAAAGCGGTGCTGAATTCTTTCCTGTTCCGAAATAAACTTTTCAGACCGCCCTCTCTTTTTTGTTTTTAAACAAAACTAAACGCAGAAAAAAGGTAAAAGTTTGAAACTTGTGTCATGTTGATGAGGCGCGCGGTTTGCTAGACCATGTTTGCACTCGTGACCAGTTTATTTTCGAACCGAGCTCTGGTGAGAGTTTCGAATGTGAGAAAAATGAGGAAGTTTCTCCAACACCAGCATGACATTAGTTGGCATTTCACACGAAATGCGTCAGATGTCAGTTGTCACAGACCGCAAGAGAAGGCGCGAAATGACAACAGGAACAAATTCGAGTACAGTATTGACAAGCTCAGCCGATTCATTCATGGAATGACTATTTTTCTCTACTGACTGTGAATGAATGAATGAAAATTGATTGATGTCTGCCAGTCCCAGATGGTGAACACACTGCTCTCATGCAAGACGGATTTCTGACAGAATGGCTAATCTTTTTCTACTTTGTCTGGTCATTCTCCTCCACGTAGAGCTGGGTTCCGAGTTCCGACTCTAATAATCGGTTGAAGTACGGCCAAAAAGTTGCAGTCTAATAAGTTTCTCATCAGCAGAAAAGAGTTGAAATGACTTTACGCTTCGATTAAAACCTTTCTTCAGATGCACTCGGGAAAAATGATCAACAAGGCGCTAGCTGTTGGAGGAGAAAAATTTATTAATTTCAGACAAAGAAAAGGAATAAGTTTTAAAATAAGTCGACAGTCGAGCAACGTATTCAAGAAGCAAAAATATATACATTACATTAGCCCTTATCTTCAGATGCTTAAAATGCCAAGGTCTCTATTGTTACGAGTCGACTCCCACGTTTCTTGGAAGGAGACTTATTATCTTTTTATTATAGGGAAAGTCACGAGAAAATTACATTAAGCTATTTCATCAGGACTAGGTTTAACGGACTGTGGCTTCTCCAAATTATACTTGATGATATTCTTCACACTTAAGGTGGATCGTTAGAGGAAGATGAAAGGTTTCCAGCATGGACATTAAATTGAAAAAGGATTTCGACCGTAGCTTTAAAATTGACTTCTTCTATCAAATTCGATTAGATATTTGGGACATCAAGAATTATTAAGCCCTCGTTTAACCCAAAATGTCTCGCGGTTACGTTCAAAATTTATTTTTAATGCTATTATTGTGGATAAAATCTATCAAATTATTTTTTTGGAGAATTCATGGAAAAGATATCCTTCATAAGTCCAAGTGAATCTGCATTCATCACAGAAGTCAACAAAAGGACAAAAGGGACAACAGTAAAAACGAACTAATCGATGTAACTTGAACTCGTCGATATAATTTCTTAGGAGATAGAAATGAAGAATTGCGTAAATGTAAAACTAATGCCGCTTTTTGATATTTCCGAAAATTGCACGAAGGAAAGTGAACTTCTCTCAACGCAACAGAAATCAAGCAATACTGGCTGATCCAGCTATGTGTTTTGTCAAACGGCGATTAGCCTACGCTGGCAACGCATGCCAAAACGTCATTCATCGTAATGTTTCATCAAGTTGAAATTTCTTGATAAAAAATCAACGATAAATCGACAACTGCAGTCAGATTCTGAAGATCCGCAAAATCGAGTGAACTTGAAAAAAAAGTATGAATCGATCAATCCAGCGCAGAAATGGCAAAAAAGGCTATGTCAAAACCGCAGGCATCAAAAATTGAGCGTTCCACAGACAAAACCGTACGAACGACGACGACGATGTAAATAAAATATTTAAAAAGAAAACAAGACTCAAAAGTCAAAACTCACCAGCCCATTTGCCAAATTTCACGAGACTCGGGATAGGGAAGAAGTTCTGAATGAAAGTGGCGACACCCATGCACGCCAATCGATAAATGGCAAAGTACACGAGCGCAGAATCAAAAGTCAAAACTCACCAGCCCATTTGCCAAATTTCACGAGACTCGGGATAGGGAAGAAGTTCTGAATGAAAGTGGCGACACCCATGCACGCCAATCGATAAATGGCAAAGTACACGAGCGCAGACACAGCCACCACAGAGATGACGTTCCACATCGGCGCCAGGAAGGGGGACGCCACCCCGACCAAGCCTCGCACCATGTCGATCATCTTCGCGTTTTTTTTTTTTTTTTTCTATTCACGGCTAAAGCAGGACCGCCACCCCGCGCTCTTGCGTCTGCTCTGCCGACGTCGGCGCTGCTCCTCGATTCCTGCCACCCCCAGTAAGTGTCGTCCCTTACCGCCTCTTCTTCTTCTTCTTCTTCCGGTGTCCCCCCCACGCCGACTACCGCATTGTTTTGTGTTTCACGCCCGACAGGACCAGTGTCTTCTCTCAACACGACACAGGCGCAACACTGGCGATGGTAAAGCTATACGCGTTCTGCCGAACTGCGACTATAGCCTCCGTCTGCAATGCATGCCGAAATACCAATTTATCGTCATTTCATCCTTAAAATTGCAACAAAAAAAAACAAAGCACCGCAGCCGGATTCCGCAGATCCACAAAATTTGAGTGCGCGTCAGGAAAGAAGAACTCAATCGATCAAGCGCGCGCAAGTGCAGAAAAAAAAGGCAATTTCGAAGCAGCAGTCCGCAAAACTTTCCGTTAGGTGAACTTTTCAAGTTTCGATACGATTATAAAAGGGTTTGGTTGGGGCAGCCATTCTAAAAAGGAAACAAGAAACTGAACAGGCAAAAATTTCAACGAGTAGGACAGTATGTGACCCGTGAGGTGAGCACGAAGTAAAACGGAAATTACATTCGTTCTGTGATCTTTATACAACAAACAGGTTTTCACATTGAAGAATTATCTCGTTTTTAAACAAGAGTCGACTGGTTGACAACTGACAAGTGGTTACTTATTCACCACAGCATTTGAAACTTGAAGAAATTGTGTTTGTTGGAAGTCAAAAGCAGTAATATCTCTGGAATTGCGAAACATAGTTTCGAGCAAGGATCGCCTTTTGCCATTAGAATCCGCAATAAGACAAAATTACTGTATACGAGTATATGATAGACGTAATTTCAAAAGCATGTTTCTTCGCCCATTCTGTTCATTCCCGTCACATCATTTATCGAGTTCAAAACAGGTACGACTGATTTCTTCGCTAAATTTTTCGCTTGAAATGCACAACTCGATATATGATGTACGACATTTCATTACGCTTTCATCAAACGTTTTTATTCGAGAGTACGAGCCGCTGTCTAATTCAAGAAATATTTACCAAATGACACGCCTGCCGAAATATTTCAAGCCCTCACCTTCGTAAATATCCAATTTTTTTCGGTCGTTAATGCATTACAGTATTAACATTTTAAAATCAAAATAGCGAGAAATAGAATACATTTTTCGGCGGACAAGACCCAAAAGAAGAGAGACAGATCTCTCACGAGCAACACGTTTTCATTCACTTGTCAGACAACCAGACTCTTCACCGGCGGTTCGTTGTGAAGTCGCAGATGGCTTCACCATGAATATTTCTTGCACACACACAACACAAAAATAGAAAGAAAGAAAATAAGAAGAAAAAAACTATCATGCCGTGGAAGAAAGGAAAAGTTGGGTGATGGAACGCGTGGCGAAAGATTCTAGCGAGTGAGGAACTGAGGAGTGTGCAGCAAGGAAGAGAGAGAAAGGAACGCGATCGGATCTAACGCCGGAACTTAACGATCTTGAACTTCAGTTCCGGCAATTGGCTAATCGCAGAGCGCCCAAAAAAAAATATACAAAAAACAACGCCAGAGCCAAACACTGCTTTTTACACACTTCGTCCTCACATTTACAAAAAAATACTTTCTATTCACGAGTAGAAAATATAGAGCATACATAATACTCTCGACATAATATTCTCGAACAGCGTACATATAAATTTAAAAAAAATTAAAACAACGTACTGTACATAATAATCTCGAATTTTCACTTCAATCGCAAGCTATGAACAGCAAAGCGTAGCTCTCGTAAGCGTTTCAAGGAAGATGACGATCAGAAATTCAGGAAGCTTACTCTGAAATCTGATTATCCAGTCACACATATGAGGCAAGATCAAAACTTCTTCCGCGTTCTGTCGCATAATCGCTAACATTAGCAAATTAATCTGCTGGACCACGATAGAGTTGGCTGTGAATGCCTACAGTAATGTATCATTTTGAGAGTGGAGTTAGTTAAACGAAAATAACGGAAAATGTAACAGTACTTTCCACATGACATAATGAAATTAATTACTGCCCAAGCTTCGTTTGACAAAGCTTTGAAAAAATAAGACTTCTACACACACACACACACACAGAGGATGAGCCAAGTAAACGGCAAATAACAACCGAAGTACAGCCGTTTTCAGCGCACTTTTCATGATCACGGTTGGCAAAAAATTAAAACAACGCACTTGAATGTGTTCAACAATGCTCAGGATATGAATGTTGCCATGGGTTCATAGATGAGTTTCGAGACATTTTGATTTACTGGTTGTTTTTATTTTTTCGTGTTGAGCCATCATTCGATGTAATGAGATTCACAGACGTAGAGGCGTAATTCTTTCACGACTGCGAAAGGAGGAAACACAACTTTCAGAAACGTGCTTCAGAAAGTGACCAGAATATTTCGCCTTAAAATCCATCACTGACGCAATGCTTCACAACAGAAACCTCCCCCAATGGAATTGATTAGCATAGAAAGGTTGCATGAGGAGCCTCAGGGCGACACACACAGCAGATGCCACAACAACATTCTTGTATTGTCAGACGAAAAAAAAAAGAGAGAGAAAGAAAAGATGTGTGGCGCTACAACTACGTCTATTAAGCTGAAACACTCAAGATTACCCTCCTCTGATGGAATTTTCCCCTGGTTGAGAATCGCGTTGAGGTAGTGAGGGAAAAATCGCGGCCACTTTCTCTTTTCCTCGACTCACCGGTGGCAGACTATTTCGTAAGCTTGATGTGACGGCTGAGTACAGGGGTGCCGGTTCAAACCCCCATCGTTTCAAATGCCCGCTGCACGAGGGGCCTTTCTTTTACTCGAGACAAGATGGCTCAGCACCAGTAGACGGCGAGGCACTTTACAAGGAGCAACCTTTTTACCCTAAAGTTTAATGCTGTTCATTATCGAAATAAGCACCGAAGAAAAACCCCCCTTTTTCTAATCTGATCATTTCAATGCGGTTGAAAATAACTGCACTTGGATTGAGTTCATTTTCAAGTGGTTCACTATTTTATGAATTAATTAAAATGGGACGTTACTCCGTTGCGTTGTGTGCAGGCTTTGTCAGATGGAGTTAAGTGACCTTGAAAGAAAGGAATATTTTTGCATGGAAAAATTGAAGCAATATCAGACGAAATATACTATTTCTTGGAAAATATTGTCCAAGTCTTTGATACGCGGAGATTTTGGTCACGGTCTCACGGATAGATCAATCATTTCATAAACGGAAAAAGATTCAAAATACGGAAAGAGGAAAATGTTTTGCACATTTATATGTACTGTACTGTACTTGCAACTTGAACAGTACAGACTTTTTCATTCTTAGCCATTGATGTATGCGTATAGGTTAAATTTCAAAATCTAAATTGCCATACTTTGGGCATATTTTAGGCATTTTTGTAGATCAAATTTTAACCGGCAATATAATACCGTATACGCTCGAAAAAGAAACACTAGAAAACGACCCATTTCATTGCCAGACGCGAAACGTCAAGTTCAGCAGTTATGGAATGGAAGGAAAACAAATATAGAAAGGAACACAGACATTTAAAAAAAGACTGCAGAAATTTCCAGGCCTGCATTATCGGGAGTTGATCATAATCCGAATTTTACTTTTCCGATCCAATCGGACTGATGGTATTTAAATCAACTTCTGGGTTCAGATTCTCACGGATTGTTAATCAACTCAAATTTTCAAGAAAATAAATTTGAAAAATCTTCGGCACTTCTTCGCAGTTTTGAGAGGGACAAAATGAATCTGGCCCCGTCTTTGAAAATAATTGAAATTATCTCAGAATAGCTTAAGATTTGAACTTTCATCATCAGTTTAAAAAAAATCACATTTCAAAACAAAATCCATACTTCACCTTGATCCAATTACCATGAATACACGTCACTGTTATACTGTATATATCCATCACAGTCGAACCTATTCAAGTCAAGCTTCAAGGGACCAAGAGAAAATAGTTTGAAAGGTTCTCAATAAGAGAAGAAAAAAACACGTTTGTTTGAGAAACGAAAAAAATAATTTCAGGAAATTGCCATTAGTAATTTGGGCCTTAAATTGCTTACTGAATGAGTTGACATTCAGGATGCTGAATCTGAAGGCAAGGGTTTATATGCCAAATTTATTTTTCAATTCCTCTCAAAACACATCGATATAAAGTACAGTATTATCATTGCTTTTCTCTTTCCGGTGTCAATAAAGTAATAGCCAAAAGGCTTCCAGAAAATACGACTTATGGAGGTTTGAAGGGGGAAAGCCTTTTGTCAGGGATATTTTTAATGCTTTTTCTCTGAGGGGATTCAGGCGGGGAATTGAAAAATAAATTCGACGTAGAGAGAGGTATTCGACTCAGGTTCGAGTTATCGAAGTTAAACTGTACCTCGAGTCCTCGACAGATTTAAATTTATTCATGGGAATTTGGGAATAAAAGCACGAATAATTATTGTTATACAGTAAATTACTGCAAATGCGACAGACGAGTCATCATCAATGACACACACAGGCAGCACGCGGCTGCTTCAACCGCCGTTCTTCCACACTGCACTCTTTTGAGCTGGTACTCAAAAAATTAACGAAGAGCCGGACAGAAAAGAGAAGATAAGAGAGGGAGTAAAGAAAAGGAGGGCAAGCAACAGAGTGGCCCGTCGCCGCCGCCTCCTCCTTCTCCACCGCCGCCACCACCAACACCACCGCCGCCGCCACAGCGGCAAACTGCTCAGGATGGCAGGAATTGGGGCAACTCGGACTGGTCATGGCATGCGCGAGCACCCCAGAAAGCTCCAGTTTCCGCGCAACAGCCGTTTTCTCGTTTTCGCGCATTTTCTCCCTGTATATTTAAAGTTCCTTTTAATGGTATCCAGATAAATTCAACAGGTTGAGAGATTTGGCACTTGATTGTTGGATCATGAAATTATACCCGACAAACATGCGTTCTTGTTAGTATAAAATACGACGTGCGCGTCGAATTGATGACTGACCGGTTGCGGAAACTTTTTGTAGTGAAATCCTTTTTGCCCTCTGAAGTCCTTCTTCACTCAAGTTCTAATTATAAACAAAAACATATTGATTCGTTCCAGACACTCACACAATTATTCAAGCAAACCTTAATACTTCATTTAGAGGTTTATTGTTTAAAAATTTGTGATTTAAAGATAGATTACAGTAGTTTAAAGTTGAGATAATCATGACATTTTTGAACTCACATTTTCCTC